GCCTCCTGTCCTGAGCCCCTGCCTCCTGTCCTGAGCCCCTGCCTGGCCCTGAGCGGGGCAAATCTCTTCTCTCCTCTGAGACTCTCGCTTCCCATCTCGGCCACCAGACCAGCTCTTCTCCCCACAGACCTCTCCCTGTTCGCCAGGCCAGGCCTCCTGCACCTGCCTTCTGGCCACCAGAGGCCCTTTTGGGTCACTTCTCTTTCTCAGACACGCACGCACTGAAACACCCCTGAATGAACTGCGTGCGCTCACACAAGCACACGCCCCACGCCCCTAACGCTCTGTGCGCGCACACACCTTCAAGAGTCCCATGCACACGTGCGCACGCCACACACACACCTTAAGAACACACACCTGAGCCTAGGCCCGCTGTGCACACACCCCGGGCCCTGCCAGCCGCAGCGGGTCCCTAGGGGCAGCCTCGTGCAGCAGCAGGTGCTCCCTGAGGACATGGCTGAAACCCACCCCGCCCCGTGGCCCCGTGCCCCGTGTGGGAGGCACTGAGCCGCCTCTCTCCTGCTCTGCCTCAGGAGCTGGGGAGCCCTTCCAGTGCTGAGGCGCCCTACTGCGACCTGCCCCGCTGCCCACCAGCCCCTGAGGACCTGCTCGGCGCCTCCACCTCCGATTGCCAGGGGCCCAAGAGGTGGGTAGAGCCCAAGGACCCAGGGAAGGCTCCCTGGGGTAGGGTGGCCTCACCTCCCCTCCTGCAGGCTCCACGGGACAGCCTCTGTCTGACGCTGCTGAAGGGGTCACGTGGGGAGTCCATGCTTTGGGCACAGGCCGGCAGGAGGCATGCCTCAGCCCCACAGGAGAACTCGGACCAGACTGTCCCTTTGGGGTCCTGGGTCTCTGGGCCTACTGTCCCCAGCCCTGGCTGTCTTTCCTCAGGGTCCTTCCCACTCGCTAGTTCCCTAGCTCAGCTTCTCTCCAGGGGGCGGCGGCCAGGCACCAGCTGTCACCCTCCCTCCTGGCTGTGCACTGTGCCAGTCTCTCGATTCCCTCCACCCCAGGCCTGCGCTCCCCTGGACTCCCCCGGACTCCCTGTGTGGGGTCATGGAACCTGGGGAGGCCATGACTTCAGGATCCAGAAACCTGGGTCCCAGCTCCTGGTCTGTCCCTCAGAGGCTGTGGGACTTCCGGCAAGTTGGTCCATCTCTCTGGGCTTCACTTTCTTTGTAAAATAAGAGGGATAGGTCAGGGCTGGGTGCATCTCAGTGGTAGGGTGCTGGCCCAGCACATGTGAAGTTCTGGTTCCATCCCAGCATTGTGTGTGTGTGCGTGCACGCACGCGCGCGCGCGCGCACACACACACACACGCACACACACACGGTGCAGAATCAAATGGCCTTGCTTGGAAACATGTGCTCCTCACAGTAGGCTTTACTTTTACTTATTCATTCATTTTTTATGGTCCTCGGCCCTGGCTGAGCAAGAGCTCTATTGCTGAGTTACTTCCCTCACCCCAAGGCGATATTTTAAAGAAAAGCTCGGCTCTCAAATACACGTCAGGAACCCTGGGAGAGGGGAAGTCGATGCTTTCCCAGCAGGACTTTCAGTTGTAGGCATGCATCTGCCAGGCGATAGGGGTGGGTGGGGGAGGCAGAGACTGTTCTGTCCCAAACCTGACTATAGAACTCTTTTGGGGGTCGTCACTCATTACCAGCCTGTAGGTCAATCTGTGTGTCCCCATCTTGAAAGACGTCAGCTACAGGCCTCCTTGGGTCATGGCTGCCCTGACTGGCTTCTCTAAAGCAAGGTTTTTCTCTGCAGCTCTTGCCCCACAGTCTCCCACCTCCCCACATTAGTCCAGCGTGAGTGTATCCTCTTATTCTTACTGAGTCTGGAGTCCCCACTCCTGCTCTGGTGACAAGGGTTTGGAGCCCAGGCAATTGTCCTGGTTCACAATCCAGCTGTCCTTTTCTGGCTGTGTGACCGTGGCCAATATCTTGACCTCTCTGAGTCACATTTCCTTCATCTATAAAATGGAAATCCTTGTACTTCAAAGGGAGGCTGTCGCACAGCTCGTGAGGCCCTGGGTGGCTCCCTGTGTGCAGTGACAGCAGATCCCTGGCCCCTGTAGAGTGTGTTCCCGTGTGCATCTGGGCGGAGGAGTGCTCCCTAATTCCCTATTACTTTTGGGGGGGAAGTCACGAGTGTCTGCTGTCCCAGGGGCCTGTCCCTGACAGCAGGGCTTCCTGAGGAGGACCCCACAGCTGCCCCCAGGAGCAGGCACCAGGAGCTGGAGGCAGTGCCCTATCTGGAGGGCCTGGCCCCCTCCCCGAGTGGCAGCTGCTACGAGGACCCCAACTCTGACACCAGCTGCAGCCCTGGCACTTCCACCCATGACACCGGCAGGTCGTCCTCTGTGGTGAGCTGGGGGCTGGAGACGGAGGGGACAAGAGAGGATCTACCCCTGAGCCCAGCCTCACAGCAGGAACTGGGCCTGGGGCGGTGGGGACGGAGGTGGCTGCCAAAGCCTCTCGGGTCCCAGAGGGCTGGGATGTGGGCCCTGGTCACAGCTGCTGAGCCCATGGCCACTCTTGGCATCGGTTTCCAAGGACAGGACAGGGTCCTCCCGGCAGGGACTGGGCCCCTCCAGCGGTGCGGGAGCAGGCCTGGAGTCCTCTCAAGCTCTCCCGTGGAGGGGCCGGCGGGGGGCAGAGGAGGCTGGCCTGTCAGGAGACCCTCCCTCAGAGGAACCTGGCGGGGAGTGACAGGCTCAGCCCAACACCCCAGCCGGTGCCCCGCAGGTGGCCGGGCTGTGTGCAGGGCTGGGGGCTCCGCCTCCCTCTGTCCTGGAGTTGGTCATGGCCACTAGAGCCACACAGGGGAAGTGACAGGGCTGGGATCTGAACCCCACCTCCTGGCTGCGGGTTTGGACAGACTCTGGGCTCTCCGGCTGCCTGCTGGCCCGGGTTGCAGGGGGGTGGGTGAGGGCACTCAGTGGGCACCTTCAAGGTCAGTTCCTTTGGCGTCTTGTGCTGGGACTGCAGGCGGGGGCCGCCTCCCCCCAGCCAACACGGCTTTGTCCTCCCTTTTCCTGGTAGGACTGCGACACTGTGGAGAGGTGGGCGGAAGTCCCCAGCTGGGACCTGCTCGCGATGATCCCGCAGAGGCCCCAGGAGGGGCAAAGAGCCGAAGGTGCCCGAAGGGCCACCAGGTCCCCTACAAGAGGAGACACTGCAGGCCAGAAAAAGGATGGTGAGTCCTTCTATCAGGCTAGTCCCCGTGACCATGGACATGGTAAGGACCTGGAGTTCCCCAGATAGCCACTCACTGGCAAATGGACCATGGGCAGGGCTTACTTTGGTGACCTGAGTCCTAATAATAGTAAAGTTTCCGTGGAATTAGGGACAACCATGATGGGCAGGCTGCCTGATTTAAATACATCATTTCACAACCAGGTTGGGATCCGTAAGTTGCAAGGAAAGAAACTGGTTGAACACGAATGGAATGACTCACATAAATAAAAAGCCTCAGGGGTGTGACTTCAGGCATGGCTGGATCCAGGTGTTCAGCAGCATCAGGAAATTGGCCTCTGCTTGGCTTTCTTCTGAGGTGGTTCCATCCTTAGGTAGACCCTCCCCTGACCCTGGCATGATGGCCACCGCTGTGTAGGTGTGTCCCACCAGCTCATCAGCTTCCTTGGAAGGACGGTCCAGTCTTCTCTAACCTGGGGCTAGTCTCAGGAAGGGTTCTCGCTGGGACTCAGGATGGAGGATGTGCCCACCTGGTGACCAGGGTCAGCTTCTGATGAACCTCAGGCCTTCGATATGGGGAAGGAGAGAAATGAGGATGACGGTTACCAGAGAGGGGAGAGGCTGTCATCAGGCCGAGCCCACAGGGGCCGTGCTCACCAGATACGTGCCCAGGATGCTGCATCCCAGAGTGGGAGCCCTCGCTTGATCGCCACTGCTCTGTGTCTCCTTGTGTCTGTCCTCAGCAGGGGCAGGATTTGAGGTTAGGAGCCAGAGCATCTGCATTTGAGCTCCAGTGGGCAGTCCTGGCCCCTGGGGAGCCAGGGGTCTGGAAGGGCAGGTGGGGTTTTCACTGAGCCCCTGGTTTCTTGCTCCTGAACATATTGTGGGCCGGATGTGGTGGCGCACACCTGTAATCCCAGGAGCTAGGAAGGCTGAGGCAGGAGGATCACAAATTCAAGGCCAGCCTCAGCAATTTAGCAAGGCCCAAAGCAACTCTGCAAGACCCTGTGTCAAAATAAAAATAAAAAGGGCTGGGGATGTGGCCAGCGGCTGAGTGCCGCTCTGCTCGATCCCTGACACTAAAACAAAGAAAAGACCCCACCTGACAACACGGGTGGGCAGCCTCGCCCTGTGCCCAGCTTCATCACAAGTGGACGCCACTGTCCACCTGGTGGCAGCTTCCTGCATGGCAGGCCAGGGGCCAAGGCCCAGGACTTGGCCAACTCTGGGATGCTGAGGGCTCCGCCCTCCACTCTCTGAGCTCTTGCCTGTTTGCAGAGCTCACCAGGTAGGCAGGGGACACAGAGCCCACCTGGCGGAGGACGGACTCGCAGGCTCCTACCCCATTGTGGTCACTAAGGGGCTTGGGAGTGAGGGCGACCCTGGAAGGGCCAGGCGCCGGGCTGCTTCAGATGGTGGGAAGGAGCTGGGCCCCCTGCAGGGGCAGCTCGGCCAGTGCCCACTCTCAAAGGACAGGGACCCCAGGCCCAAGCACAGCTAGAGCTGGAGGTGGCAGCACAGCGTGTACTGTGCACCTACTGTGTGCTCTGCACCTACTGTGTGCTGAGCGCTTTTCCAAGCCCCATCCCGAGGGCGAGGCCCTTCCTGAAGAGAGCTTGCTGGGGAGGGAGCAGGGGACCAAGGGAAGGAGACCATGTGAGGAGGTGACCCAGGGCTGCTCCCGGTGACAGGGGTGCCTGAAGGAACCAGCCAGGTGAAGAGGGGCGCGCTTCAGGCAGAGGCAGCAGCAAGAGCTGGGGTGGTGAGGTGTCTGTGGCGTGTTCCAGGATCCCAAAGGTAGGCAGGTGCGAAGCTGCCGTGGGGGGGCAGAGCCAGCCTGGCGGCGGAAATTGGGGATTTTATTTCAAATGCAGTAGGAAGCCCTTCTCTCTGTCTCTTTCTCTCCCTCTCTCCCCCTTCTCTCTCTCTCTCTCTCTCTCTCTCTTTCTTCCTGTTTTGAAATACTCTTAAACTTATTCGAGGGCCTGGGGTTGTGGCTCAGTGGTAGAGCACTCAGCTGGCATTCATGGGGCACTGGGTTCGATCCTCAGCACCACATAAAAATAAAATAGATATATTGTGCCCACCTAAAACTAAAAAATAAAATTTTAAAATATAAAAACAATTTTTGGCTGGGGATACAGCTCAGTAGGTAGAGTGCTTGCCTTGATGCACAAGACCCTGGGTTCCCAATCCCCAGCAACCCCCCAAAAAGTAAAATTTATTTGAGAGTTACCCAGATGGTATGGGAGGTGTATTATGCCTTTTGCCCTGGTTCCCCGGATGTTGGCATTGAATATGGCCACAGTGCAGTGATCTGAATTAAGAAATGAACACAGCGAGGGCTGGGGAGGTAGGTAGAGCACTCACCCAGCGTGTACAAGGCCCTGGGTTCCATCCCCAGCACAAAAAAAGGCCCTGGGTTCCATCCCCAGCACTTAACCACTGAGCCAGGCGCAGTGGTGCCTCCCTGTAATCCCAGCAGCTTGGAAGGCTGAGGCAGGAGGATCCTGAGTTCAAAGCCAGCCTCAGCAACTCAGCGAGACCCTGTCTCTAAAAACATATAAAAAAGGGCTGCAGATGTGGCTCAGTGGTTAAGTGCTTCTGGGTTCAATCCCTGGTACCAAAAGATGTTGATTAGTTAATTAATGAACGCTGGGGTGTGACACTATTAACCACAGACTTCATTGGGAGCCTCTCGCTTCTCTTCTAGTAGCCCTTTATGTGCACTCTAGCATCCCACATGGCATCAGCTGCCAGGTCTCCTCTGTGTCCTCTCTGGAACAGCTTTCTGGTCTTTCATCCTCCCCTGCAAAACTGTGAGCAGAGGGATCTGGTCATTTTGCTTTGGAAAGGATCTCCCTGGGGAAAACCGTGACATTGGACCCAAAGGACACATGCCTGTGCTACTCAACCACCCAGGCGAGAAGCGGCAGTGGCAGGGTGGAGGGGAGGCTGGAGATAGAGAAGCTGGTGGGTCTGGACCGCGCTCAGCATGGCCCTGGAGCATCAGCCCATCTGGAACAGCAGTGCTAGGGATCCAGATTTAGGTGACACCCGCGTAGCAAGGGTGGAGGGGACAGAGCTGAATGCAAAGGAGAGGGGACGTCCAGGAAGGCAGTTGTGGTTCCTTCAAGACAAGACCACAGTGCTGCTCACCTGAGCACCAGCCCGGGGACACAGCTGGTGGCCAAGGAATCAGAGGGGTGGAGGTGACACCAAGGTCATGGCAATGCCATCATGGGCTGGGGGGGGGCGGGGAGAGGTAACTGTTGAGGGAAGTTCATTGGTCCCTAGACCAGCGCTTCTGAAGCTCTGAGGTGCCTAAGTCGTCTGGAATCTGGTCAATGCTGGCGGTGCACATGGGCAGGGCCTGAGGTTGTGATTCCCTGTAGACAGCCAGTGCTGGGCGGGGCCTCCGGAGCTGGAAGAGCTGGCAGGCACAGGGAACAGGAGCCCTCTAGAGTGTCACACACAAGAGGCTCCTTAGAAGACATCAGAGCAACTCGCCAGAACCCCCTCTGCAGGAAGCACAGCTGGACGGGGAGTTGTGCGGTGGCTTCAGGCCTGGCGCCCCCTGCTGGCGAGCGAACCTGGCTTTGATCTCAAATCCCAGCCCCAGAGGAGAGGGAGGTCCAGCCAGCCTCGGGCAGGGGTGCAGTCCTCATGGAGAGGAGCAGGGTCTGCCCCCATCATGGGTCCATGGGGACAAAGAAAGACAGGGCGTGGGGACTGGCCTGGCGCCCTCCTCACCTTCACCCTCTGCGTCTCCCTCCAGATTCGGGCGCTGGGAGCCGCTGTGCCGCACAGCACTGGGCCAAGCTCCGGGGAGAAGGCCGGTACTTCTCCTTGGAGCGACAGCACTCAGCCCCTGCCCAGGCTTCCTCTGCGACACCACAGCACAGACCTCACAGCGCCACCACCCAGGCCTCTGCTCAGGCTGCTTCAGCACAGCGCGAAGCCCCCCGGGCCTCCTCCCCCCACCGAGTCGCTCAGAAGGACAGCCCTAGGCCCTCTTCCACCCAGCAGGACGCCCCCAGGGCCTCCCTCACCCAGCGGAATACCCAGGCGACGTCATTGCCCGCCAGAGTGAGCCCGCGGGCTAGCCCCGGAACCTCATCCACCCAAGGACACCGTCCTCAACCGTCCTCTCCCCTCAGAGCTGCCCAGGAAGACAACCTCGGAACCTCTGCTCAACAGGACAGCCCACAGTCCTCAGTTCCCACTTCTCAGCGGGAGACCCCCAGGACATCCTGTGCCCAGCGGGACAACCCCAGAGCCTCCTCCCCGAGCAGAGCCACCCAGCGGGACAACCCCAGAGCATCTTCCCCCAGCAGAACCACCCAGAGGGACACCCCCAGAACCTCCTGTGCTCAGCGGAACAACCCCAGAACTTCCTCCCCGAGCAGAGCCACCCAGAGGGACACCCCCAGAGCATCCTCCCCCAACAGAACCACC